TTATGTCAAATAACCAACTTTTGGTTTTATGGGTCCTCTTTTGTTTTTTGCTTTCTGTTTCATTGATCTGCATTATCTGCATTTGTCCTTCCTACTTCTGTTATTTCTTTATTAACTTATTTAAAAAAAATATTTATTTATTTATGCATACAAGAACTGGGGTACAGGCCAGAGGTACAGGAGGGTGATAGGATTCACCAGAGACAGAGTGGGGGGCAGAACAGGCAGATCCATGGAAATACACTGCTGAGGGGAGCAGCAGGCGAGTCAGGAGAGGTCTGCTGTGCCATGTGGGTAGCTCACTGGCCAGGGATCAAACTTGTGCTGCAGTGGCTACTGATAGCTTCATAGTGCTGCGTCTTAACCCCCTTGAGCCATCAGGGAGGCCTGACCATTATGTTTTAAATATTTTCCACTTTTCATTTGTACCTTGCTCCTATAGACCCACCCACTTTCTCCCCTTTTACTTCTGCTCTCTGCCCCATAGGCTGCCTGTACAGAGTACCTCAATGGGAGGCTGTGCCTTGTGTCCTCTTCTCTTCTCTTCTCGTCTCTTCCCGTCTCTTCCCTTCTCTTCCCTTCTCTTCCTTTTTTTTTTTGTTAGTGTGAAATAACTTTAATATACTAGTGTGCAAAGAGAAAGGAGAGAAGTAAGAGTAATAGTTTTCTAATAAAACACCCAAAGTTATCTATCCCCTGTGGGTAAATGCCCAGTCCCACAGGGTTGCCCCAAAGCTAGGCTGCTGAGGACTGAAAAGTTGTCATAGTCTGAGGCACCCTCTGGTAGGGCCTTCTGTCTTCTGATTGAGTTCTGCCAATGATTATTCCTGGCAGGAGATAGAAGAAGAGGAGAGCCAGGTCAGGCTAATTATTTCTGTGGTCCCTCCTCTGTGTGATTGCTTTAGGGTGGATGTGACCCTTGGCAGAAAGTCACTGCTTGAAAATTGGCCTGCTCTATAAACCAGACCTCTCTCCTTTGGGATCCCAGTATCTATTCTCTCCTCGTCCCCTTGGCTCCAGAAATTGAGATAATCCTACTGTTACTATTCCCAGATCCTTTATGGTCTCTTGTGATTCCCACATGTCCCTCCCACACCGTTAAATTTTGGTTCTTTGTAAATTTATAAAACAAATGACCGTTTATTGCTTGTTGAGCCCCTGCATGATATACCATTTTTATTTAGTCTCAGTCAATGATTTATTTAGAAGCTTGTTTTCAACTTTCCAAACATGAGTGTTTTAAAAATTATACTTTTTAAACTGATTTCTAATTTAGTTGATGTTTTGCAGATCGTGTTTATTTGCAATACTTTGATATTTGTTGAGACTTGTTTTGTCATCTTTACACAATTTTAAATTTGTTTCATGTGTATTCAAATAGAATCCTCCATAGGTTTATTACTTTTGGTTGAAAGAAGGGATTTGTATAATTGTATATTTGTCAAATTTCTTCTTTAAACAGTATTTTTTCTTAATTTACATTTGAGACTCTTGTCAGGTACATACAGGTTTAGAATTATTTTATCTTCCTAGTGATTTGTTCTTTTTATCATTATATAGTGACCCTGTTTATCCTTAATAATACATTTTGCTTTAAAGTCCATTTTGTCGGAAGTGAATATGGCTACTCTAATTTTCATACTACCTCTGCATTTTTTTTTCTACTTTGCCCTTCAACTTTTTTTTTATCTTTTTGTTTTAGGTATGTCTTGCGTCAACAGTATATAGCTGAAAAAAATTTAAATTATGTAATTCATCTGTACTTAAAACAGAATAAATATTGCCATTTAAATTTACAAAGTACAGTACATATGTCTAGAGCCCAAGGAATTTGGATTCCAGGCTCTACCTCACTACCCTATGACCTTGAACAACTCTCTCAAACTCTCAAGATAAAACTCAAGTCCTGAATTGGATTATCTTGATTATTTCTTCTAGTTCATTTATTTTGTCATTCCATTAAAATATAGTAATATGTTAAAATAGTTCTGAGACAGGAGTCTTGAAAATGAGATCCAATATTAGAAACAAAATCCTAGTGTAATAAATCCTTACACTAGTAACTGATGTTTAAACTTTGGGATATTTGTTCTTTGTCAAGTAAAACCATGGTATCCATTTCTTTCTTTTTTTTTTTTTTATAGAGGCATGTTATTTATTTATTTATTTGTTTGTTTGTTTGTACATGCACTGGGTACAGTCAGAAGCGCGGGAGGGTGAGAGAATTCACCAGAGCAAGAGCAGGGAGCAGAGCAGGCAGAAGGACCGAAGTACACTGCTGAGGGGAGCAGCGGGCGACAGGAGAGGTCTGCGCGCCACGTGGGACCCGCCTCTGGTGGCCGGGGAGCATGTGGGGATGGAACCAGAGCCGAAGAGGCCGCGGGCAGCTTCGCAACCCAGCGCTCAACCGCTGCGCCACCGGGGAGGCCCGGTATCTATTTCTTAATGTGATGTCTTTTTGCAGTTTAATTTCTTTTTTGAGATTAATCCATGTTTTTAAAAAACATTTTCTGTGATTTGGGGAGGTATTCAAATATGTTTTCTTGTGATTCTAGGGATATTTACACGCTTTAATAATGCAAAAAAACTTTTAAGGTTGTATTACTAATTTTCTGCTTCACTTTATTTTACTTTTAAATTTCTACAAAATCCTTTCTGGAGTTGTGGATGCTATAATCTTCACCATTTTATCACAAGATTACTCTAAAAATGATAGCACTAAATTGGAATTTTAAGACCTTAGAAATAAACCTACAGATCTCACTGTTAGTCTCCTGGAGGTACAATAATGACTGCATCTAATTTTCATAGTCAATGATGATATACCATTTTGTTTGGAGACTGATTTTATGTAGTTGGCTGCAGTGACATAGCCTTTAGGGTTGAGGCCTGCAGGAAAGAAGAGTTCATACTGTTTCTTGGCTCCAACTTTGCCCTCCTTTTTTGCACATCTGTGTCATGTGAACCAAATAGCTTCAGGGCTGGGTTCCTGTAGGGTAAAAGGTTTTCAGGCTTTTCTGCCCTGCCATCATCAGGATTGCGTTGCCTGATGGGGCACCTGAAGTTCTTACATTGTTGTAAGCTGTTTTGTTTACTTCTGTGGGCCATGGCTCAGTATGGAGACATCTGCCAAGAGAAGAAGATGCAGCAAGTGAGAGAGAAGGGGAGAAAGAAGCCCAGAGTGAAGACTTGTCCCGGGCCTTAGAGGCCTGCTGGCCTCCTGGCTCTCCTCTCCTCCTGCTGTGTACCTGGTTGCTGCACTACATGTACACATGTACAAGCTCAATAAAAGCCTGAGAAAGCCACCCAGGGCTCCAGGACTCTACTCTACCCGTCCGCATAGGATCATAGGTATCTTGCTCTACAATTGCTCTACATAGATATACTGCCACTACAACTACCCAAACAACCCAACTTTCTCAAACTACCCAAACAACCACCCCATTCTGGAAGGTTGTGTCAGTACCATCTTTGTTATTATTATTTTTTTTTTTTTTCTTTTATAGAGGCATGTTTTATTTATTTATTTGTTTGTTTGTTCGTTTGTTTCGTTTATACATGCACTGGGTACAGTCAGAAGCGCGGGAGGGTGAGAGAATTCACCAGAGCCAGAGCGGGGAGCAGAGCAGGCAGAAGGACCGAAGTACACTGCTGAGGGGAGCAGCGGGCAGCAGGAGAGGTCTGCGTGCCATGTGGGACCCTCCTCTGGTGGCCGGGGAGCAGCCGGGGATCGAACCAGCTCTGCAGAGGCTGCGGGCAGCTTCGCAACCCAGCACTCAACCACTGCGCCACCGGGGAGGCCCCCATCTTTGTTATTAAACTGACAATACTCTTGACCAAGAGTTTGCTTTCTTATAAATAAATCAACCGTATCTTCTTCCAAACTACAATGCTATAGTTACATTGACTGACTTGTTTATTTCTTAATTTGCTCCACTAGTTCATTTAGAGACTTTTAAGATGGGTCAGTTCTCTAGATGACTTAGCCCATCTTTCAATGGACCATTTTCCTATATAGATGCAAAACAAGTGGGTAGGAAATGGGAATCTAGAACCTAAACTGAGTCTCTTGAACTTTATTCTCAAGGTGGAGGATCATTAGATCTGAGTGCATCATACTTACGTAAGTTTTTTAATATTTAAAATTTTAAAAGTAACACACGGATATTATCTGTTTAAAAATAAAGGCTAGAAAAATCCCTTGAAGTCCCTTTCACCCTTTCCCCAACGTTTGCTCCCCTCTCTAGGGGTAACCACAATCAGTTTTTGAGGACACATTTCCAGTCCACTTTCTATACACTTCTTTTCTCTATTGTATTTACATATTCTCTTTTTATAAACATGAATCTCCTCGTTTTATAGGTAGGACACTGAGTGAGACCTTGAGAGGCGGTAAGTGTTGACAAATTTATTGGAGAAATAAATTGGATTTACTGAAGAAAGCAGACGGAACAAGTTCATTAAGACGTACTATAAAAAGATAAAATTACTACATGTCAGACTCTGAGTACAATGCTTTATTGGCACGAATATTTTACTGGCATTTTACTACTGCTGGATGAGTTGCCGCACTAGGTTAACCAAGAAATCAGTTCGGATGCGAAGTCGCTTCAGCGCGATGATGCAGGGTTTGTATTTTGATGGAAGCTGCAGAAAATCCGGCAGAGGGCTGTGAAGCCGTTAAAGAAAAAAAAATAACTGGCTTCGGTCTACAAAGTTTGTGAAGCAGAAACGCCAAGAATGTACTACCCGCCAGGCTCTACGCTTCCCTCAGAAACCGGGAACGGACGAGGCGAGAGGGGCGCCGGGGCGCGCACAGAGGGACGCGGCTGCCGGCGGCGCCTCAGCCACCGCGCGCGAGAACTCGGCGAGCGCCCGCACACCCGGCGCGCCTGCGCCGACGCACGCAAGGCGAGGGGCGGGGCCGCGAGGGGCGGGGCCTGGGGCGGTCACTGAGCCTGCGCAGAGCGCGCGGCGAGGTGGGGGAGGGCCGTCCGTGTGTGTCTGTGTTGTTGTTCGGCGGCGGCGGCGGCGGCGGTAAGATGGCTGCCCACGGGGGCTCCGCGGCGTCGTCGGCGCTGAAGGGGTTAATTCAGCAGTTCACCGCCATCACCGGTAAGAGCCGCGGTTACCGGAAGGCGGAGAGTGGGGTCTGGCGCGGGCGGCCGGTCTGCCCCGGACTTCTTCCCCGTCGCGTCCCTCCCCCGGGGCTGCCCCTGCTCCCGGCTCCTGAGGAGAGGCGGCGGCGGGGCCGCGGGGCCGCGGGGACCCCCCCGCCCACGCCCTCCTCGTCGGCCCCGGGCGGCGGGGGGCGCGTCCCCGCCCGCGCTCTGCCGGCCCAGACCCGAGCCGGGGCCGCGCCGGGCCGCCCCCGCCGGCCCGGGACCCGGGCGGGAGGTGGGGGCCGCGCCCGGGCCACCGCCCTCCGCGCCTCGGCCGCCGGCTGCTCCGCGAGCCCCGGGGCGCCGCATCCCGCGCTCGCCCTTTCCTTTCTTCCTCCGCCAGGCGCCCCCGCCCCCCGCCCCCGGCCCGGCCCCCGCCCCGGCCCCCCGCCCCGGCCTGCCCCTGCCCCCCTCGGGGCCCCTCGGAGCCTTCGCGGTGCCCTGGCGCGCCCGGGCCCTCCCGCCGCGGCCGCGAGGCTGGGGGATCCGCGGCGCCTCTGCCGACCCCGGTGCAGGCCTGCGGGGGGGCGCCAAGGGGCGTCTGCGGGCCTGGGGCTGGAGCTCGAGAACGAGGGGGAGGAAGACCCCCAGCACCTCCATGGAGGCGGCCTGGAGGAATCCCGGTGGCCTGTCCCGCCTCCCCGTAGTGAAACCTGAAAGGCTGAGGCGATGGCGCCGGGGCCTCCCGCTGATGACATGGGGATGGCGGCAGAAAGTTCTTTGAGAGAAAATCAGTTTCTGGGTGTCCGTATCCCCCCAAGCCCTCGGTTTCTCTTTTGCTGGGGACCCTTGCTGAGGGCACACGCAGATGCTCTGAACGCTGGAGGAAAGGCCCCGAGCCATTCTGTGAATTCTCTGTCTTGCTTCTCTCTGGTGGTGCTGAACTTTTTTTGCATGAGTTATTAGAGGGCGGAGCAAATGATGAAGTTCTCTGTGGAGTGATTTGAGAGACGAGTACTCCATGTGCCTGAGTGTAATTTTGCCGTTCTGGTTTGTCATTTTGGAAGGAGGTCAGAGTGTTAGTTTCCTCCGCTAGCAGATTTCTGCTTTCTCTGGTAATTGGTTCGATGCCGAAGGCGTTTCCTCGAGTTCGATGTAAAATTTTATATTTTAACCACTGCGGGTTGTATGCAAGTTGCCGTTATATGTCTGTATGTAAAATTTAAGCTAGTTTTATTTTTCACTCTGTAATAACTAGATGTTTTGATGCGTTATGTAGTTTGTGGGCATGAAACACCCGTCCAAGCTGATAAAGTAAAATATGTAATAAAGTTGGAACGAGGAATGAAATACTTTTCTTAATATTCTGTGATTGGACTGTTATGTTTGAGAGATGTATGCATTTCCCAGTTTCTAAGCAGCTCATCATTCTTGGGAAAATTAGAAGAGTATTGTATTTATAAGTAACTTTTGCTTATATGGAAAAGTGTAGTAAATAAGATACAGAAGTCATTGTCATTAATTTTGCTTTTATTTTTCTATAAATGATTTAATTTCAGTTTTTAATGCTAACTACTCTCCCTTCAGGAACCTGATTGTTTTCACCTCATATTGTTTCTTCCAATGCAACATTTCTGTTGAGAATAGACACCCCAATTGTGGTGAGATGAAGGACTCACTTAATTGCTTCAATTCTATTAGTTTGCAAGTCTACAAGCCTTGTTTCCTGGTCACGGGCCTTTTTTATTCCTGTCTCAAGTTGGAGACCATCAGTAGATAATGCTCCGTGGAAGTCTGCAAAAGGGAAAATACCTTAGATTCCTCTTAGTATATCATGAGTTTCTACTAGTAATTTTTGAGGTTTTTTTTTTTTTTAACAAAATAGTGTTTAATTATTGGAAACAAATGATTGACCCTCCCCTTAAACCTTTTTCACATTTTTAAAGATTTATTTGTTTGTTTATTTATTTATTTATACAAGAGCTGGGGTACAGGTCAGGAGGTTGAGAGGATTCACCAGAGACAAAGCCAGGAACAGAACAGGCGGATTGACAGAAATACGCTGCTGAGGGGAGCAGCGGGCAAGACAGGAGAGATCTGCTGCGCCATGTGGGTTATCTCCCTGCCCATCTGGGAGTCGAACCCGTGCTGCAGATGTTGCGGACAGCTGCATAGTGCTGCGCTCACTGAGCCACCGGGGAGGCCCTTTACTTATTTTCAAAAGAATATTTGTGATTTTGTCCATATATATTGTAAATTTTAGTATTTATGATAAAAAGTTATTTGATCCTTACGCTTTGCTGGATTAACTAAACTGACTTTAAGAACTTATGTTGTTTTCAACTTATGGTTTTACTTGTCCGGAAGCCGAATATTCAGATAAAAGCAAAGCATTTTCAAAAATATGAGTCTCACTTTACCTGTGGAATTTAAAAATAGAAGAGAAAATTGAAAGTTATAAGTTTTCTCACTAAACAGGAGAAATTTGTATATAATATGTGAGTATGAAATGATTCTGATTCTTAAAAATATTAAGTAAATATCAGAACAACTTGAACTAATTTTGCAAAAAGGAAAAAATAATTCACTCTCAGAATAACAGTGTTTATATTATTTTGTATAGTGTTTATATATTTATTTTTACATTGTGGCTATTAGTATATATAATTTAGAATTCTGCAATTTTCAGTTACTGTTATGTCAACTTTTTCCCATGGTCAAATTCTTTGATAAGCAAGTAGCCAAGGGAAATGATGGGCTTTGAAGTAATCCAAAGATTGAGAGGCTATACACCTTATCCACTGATGCCTTTCCAGTTGTTTTAAGGTTACATAAGAAACCAGTTTTGTTACTTTATAGACGTACCACATTTTACAATATTACTCAGTTTGATCTTCCTTGATATTCATCATATATGGCTTTGAATGATTGACACTGGCAGACATATCAGTTCTCAAAATACAAGAAAGAATTACTGCGGGATCTGGAGGTAATTTCGAAAGAACAATTTAAAAAATCTTTTGAACCATGTTGGTACACAATTAACACTAACTTGAGCTGACATCCAGCCACACATATACAAAATGCACAGATGATTAATAATTTAATAACTTAATAATTATGATTAATAGTTTATGAGACGAGAGGCACATAGATGCTACAGAATAGGTAAAATAGAAGGTAAGGACAAAATGTGAGCGAATAGCAAGTGGAGGCTGAGGAAGAGTAAAAGAGGTTGCTAGTATAGAATTCCTCAAAGCTTTGTACATAGTTGGCGTTTTTTGTGTTTGTGTATTTAATGCCATTGTAGGACCACACTTGAAGAGATCTTAGTTTAATCTTTCTCTAAAGTTGTTGACTGAATGCAATATTTATTACAGGAATTAGAAATTGGTGTGCGTAATATTTGACTTTATTGCCAATTTCCATTTACATTTTTATGTACTACATTTCTCTTGTGTTAGTATTAAAATGTGTTTGAATTCTTTGTCAGGGAAGTTTGTTTCAAGTGTTTTAGATATCAAAAGAAAACTTAGAATTTTGAGAGCTATTTTAAAAGGTGATGATGTTTGAGTAGAAATTTAGGGAGGTAATACATCTTTTGTGTTGTGAGTGGACTCTTAGTAATAACTTAAGTATTTCTTGATAGTCTGCTATATGCCAGGTATGGTTCAGATTCGGGGGATAACTACCATGAATAAAGACATAGAGTCCTCAAAAACTGGGAGAATGATAGGGACCAGTTATAGGAGCACAAAAGAAGTGGGGAGGGCAAGAAAGACTTTGCAGAAGAAATTCTTTTTTAAAAGATTTATTTTTTTGTGTATACAAGAGCTGGGGTACAAGCCAGAGGTGTGGGGGGTGAGAGGATTCACCAGAGACAGAGTAGGGAACAGAACAGGCAGATTGCCCAAAGTACACCGCTGAGGGGAGTGGCGAACAAGTTGGGAGAGGTCTGCTGCGCCATGTGGGTTGCTCCCTGGCTGGTCGGGAATTGAATCCTGCAGTGGCTGCAGATTGCTTAATAGATTGCATCATAACCCTTGCGCCACCAGGGAGACCCCAGAAGAAATTTTTTTTAAAAGATTTATGCATATAAGAAATGGGGTGTAGGCCAGAGGTGTGGGGGGTGGGGAGTTGAGAGGATTCACCAGAGACAGAGCGGGGAGCAGAACAGGCAGATTGCCTGAAATACACTGCTGAGGGGATCAGTGGGCAAGACAGGAGAGGTCTGCTGTGCCATGTGGGTTGCTCTCTGGTCAGGGAGCAAACTCGTGCTGCAGTGGCTGCTGATAGCTTGATAGCGCTGCGTCTTTCACCTCTGTGCCACCGGGGAGCCCCAGAAATATTTTCTTAACTAAAACTTAGAGAAGATATGTTTCTGGGGAGAGGAACTTGAGCACGTGCCTGGAGGGGAGACGGACAGACATACACAAATAGATAAGAAAAAGAGATAGTTAAAAAATTTTTTTGTTTAAATAGAAGCGATAGTTGGTTTAGGGAATTGGTAATAATTCAAAAATGAATGGAGCATAGCTAGTGGGAGATGCAGTAAATGGAGCTCAAGAGAAGTGGGTACCAGATTAAGAAGGGCCTTAGGTTGTTGCATTAATCCAAGAAAGATAATGGGTGTCTTAAAATAAGTTAGATAACGGGTGTCTTAAAATAAGTTAGTAACAGAGAAGTGGACTCTGAAAGATGTGGGAAGAGGTCAGGAGTCAATTAATGAAGCTTAAGATTCTGTTTTGGACATCTGGTTATAATGATGCTATTTATGAAAGTATGGGATAGTAGGAGGTTGGGGAGATTTTGGGAACTTCCAAATGAAGCTGTTCAGTAAGTAAATGAATATCTGGGTCTAGAAAGAGGAGTTATATCTGAGGAGTCACATTGATGGCGGTTGAAGCGATAAAAGTGGTAGGTGGCATCTTGTAGGAAAGAGTGTAGTATGAGAAAATAATACACTCGAGGACACAAAACAAACACTAATATCTGATAGACTGCAAAGAAGAA